ACTTCTCTGATCATTTTCTGGTTCTTATCAGCTCCATTTATTGAATTTAGTGCTTTGTCCACATTAAAAAAAAAAGACATCAAAGGAAAGAATAAGAAAAATTAAATGGAAAAATTTTGGTGATATATATAACAAAATGGAATAAGCTTGCCTATTAAAAACCTGACTAGGTTATAAGAAATAAAACTAAAATTCATTAGGATGTTGATCTCAAGAAAAACTCGTTAAAGACAAAGACTGGGATCACCTGGGTCCATGAAATGACAGTGTAAGAAAATTGGTGTTGGAGTTGTGATCGACCAGAATAAGCAGGGCTGTTAAATAATGATGAAAGCCATAGTGAAGAGGAATTCAATTTGAATTGATTATATCCGAATAAAATGTACATAGGAAAATGGTAGAATTACCAGAATAAATTACCTAGTTGGGAGGTAAGATTTTTATAAAATACTTTTTTTAAACCAAGTAATAAAAGCATGGTCTGTAGGAGCCTGGCCAGCTAGACAGACTTGTAACCAGGAATAGAAAACTCCCTTTCTGCTGTGTCCCCCCAGCACCCTCTATTGACCAGACTAAACATGCAACCTGAAAAAGGAGAAATTTTTATTAAGCCCATCTCCCTTGTCACAGGGCAGGAAAAGAACAATGAATTTGGAGCTCAGAGGCAATAAACTGATAGGTGGTACAGGAATCCACTTCATCATCGGGCTGTGATGACTGTGAAGACTGTTATCTTTGTGGGGGAAAAAAACGTTTAGGGAACAAAAAATTTTGTATAGAGTATACAACTGGTGGTGTGATACTTTGCATACTGATCTGCTTTTAGCAAAATTTTATGTTTCATAAGTGAAATGGCATTTTAAAAATATTTATTTCTGGGAGTATATATCACCATTAAAACAAATTCCATTAAAACAAGTTGCATTAAAATAAATACTATCTGCATCAGAAAGTAGTACTCAAGTTGGAATCTGGACTTATGAATTCTAATTCCTTTTCTTCCTCTTCTCTCTCATTTTCTAGGTGATCCAGATTAATCTGAATTCAATAGTTCCATCTGTCAGTGGTCCAAAAAGACCTCAGGATAGAGTTGCTGTGACAGATATGAAAAGTGATTTCCAAGCTTGCTTAAATGAAAAGGTAGATTACTGTTATTAACCTTTAGTTGTCAGTACACTTTGTGCTAAGTGGTAAAGAACCAACTGGATGACCCATGAACTCAACTGACGGCTGTATTTTTATATGTTTTATGTGGCACACACCAGCAGACCCCTCTTGCCTCTGTCCAGAGTGCAAGTCAGACTTTGCATAAGTGTATTCCCAGGTCCTCTATGCAGATCAGAGGTTGATTGGGTATATTTAAATTAACTAAAATTAAAGTTAAAATTTGAGTTTCTTAGTTCACGATAGCCTCATTTCAAGTTGAAAAGCTGCTTGTGGCTGTGGCTCTTGTATTGGACAGCATAGCTGTTGAGTATTTCCATCATCACAGAAAGTTCAATTGGACAGCCCTTCTCGAGACTTCTGTGATTTCACAAACTAGAAAAAAACCCACTATATTGTTGTTATTACTCTCTTAAAATCTGGCAAATTAACTGAATAACAAGTGACCTCTTTGACTTTCTAGGTTTGTACTTTCTGTTTGAGAATCATGGCTTCAATCTTGTAGCTGGCTTTCTTTTCAGAGCCTTTCTTTTTATAATTTCTTTTCTTTTCTGGTGGAAAATGTCTTAACTTGTACAGGAATAAAATAGTGTGACAAATTCCCATGTACCATGCTTCAGCAATTACCAACTCATAGCCAGTCTTACTTCATCTGTTCTACACACATATATACACAGAAGATCATTTTGAAGCAAATCTTCAAGGCCATTTTTATCAAAGGAAAAGTTTGTATTATCTCTTGAGAATTACTATAAGTAGGAATGAGTACAGAACAGCAAAGTCAAATGAGATCTGGATCCTGAGTAGTTGGCTGTACTCACTCAGTAGTTAAAAGCTTGTGAATACCACCAACTCCTATCATGACTATTCAAATTCGTGCTTCAGCTAAATTACAACTACTAAATGTCATGGACCTTTGGCATCACTCACAGTCAGAACTTATCAAATGTCAAGGATCTGCCATATTGTCTGCCACTCTTTTTTTCTATACATATCCAGACTATTTAATTAATAATTGTGTGCAAATTTGTATAGGTTGGATTTAAAGGCTTCCAAATTGCAGCTGAAAAGCAAAATGATGTCATCGCTATTCATTATGAAGGAAGTGAATATAAGCTAGCTCATGGATCTGTGGTCATTGCTGCCGTTATCAGTTGTACCAATAACTGCAACCCATCTGTTATGCTCGCTGCAGGTAGGTTGTGGTTCACGGCCATACATTTTCTTCTCCTAAATTATTTTTTACTTTTCTGTTATATTCATGTTCGGTTTCTTAGATTATGTATGAGTATTGGTGTCTATGTTTGACATTGAGAGCCTTTCTGAGATTTTATTTAGGTCTTAAGGAGCCTAAGTTTGATGTATGTTATTTTGTTTTTATTACAAAGAAAGTACATTTTTTAAATTGTAACTTTATGTGTCTGAGTCTTAGGTTGTATCTGCTTTTTCTGTTAATTTGGAAGTAAAGTTAATTAGAAGATCTCTTGATAATCTACTGGAAGTTTACCATAGCAATATGCTAGATTCAGTCGAAAGTATAAAGGAAGTAAAAGATCATTGACAAGGATTTTTTATTTTTTTATGGGAGTGGGTTGGTAATTGGGTTTATTCATTTATTTCTATTTGGAGGAGGTGCTGGAGATTGAACCTGGGACCTTATGCATGTCAACCATGCACTTCACCACTTGAGCTATACCCTGCTCCTTATTGACAAGGATTATAAATGAAATCAGTTGTGTGTACATGGAACAATTCATTAATTGTATAAAATCAAGTATAATCAGTGATAAATGGCTATTCAAAACGGTTCATTCAATGATATGTATTACATATGTGCATATTATGATAAATCCTTTTCTTCCACTTGTGTGCATGATGCCATGATATCAGATGGTGTCTTAATAATTCATAGTATCAAGGCTAGTATGTCTACCACAATTTTTAATTTGTTTTAAATGAAACAAATCACTAGAATAAATTGGACAAAATAATGACAGTAAATTCATGGATTTTAGGCTTTGGCCCTAACCTGAATTGGAGATGACCTGTGAAACAAACCCTTTCTTGCTTCCTACTTTAATATGAGGGGTAGAGGGAAAGAAACCTTGCCGTAATAAATCATTATTTGTTTACTGTGCAGGTCTTTTGGCTAAAAAAGCTGTTGAAGCTGGTCTGCATGTTAAACCTTATATAAGAACAAGTTTATCTCCAGGCAGTGGGATGGTTACACATTACCTCAGTTCGAGTGGAGTATTACCGTATCTTAGTAAGCTTGGGTAAGTGTTGGTTACCACTGTTTATATTGATGTTGATGTTCAGCAGTGACTGAAGTTGCTGTTAAGACCTTTCATATATAAAAAGAAGGTCGGAAAAATACCCTTTAGTTCTTTCTGCTTGTTGCCTTGCCATTCCACAAAATCTTTGAGGCTGTATCACTCAGCAGACATATACTGGGCATATTCAGTGAAAAAGGCAGTGTGATGGCTACAAAGAAGTAGGGGATGTGATCTCTAGTTTAGGGGTGAAAACAATACAGACAAGTGAAACCAAGTAACGTGACAGACAGCATAAGGGACGGTACTGAGCAGTGCGTTATTTCCATGAGTCTCGTAGATCAGTTTTTAGAACAGAATGAAATCTTACAGGTTGCACAGTAACTGAGTAAATTGTTTTAACTGAGGTTTTGTGAGATTATTGGATCCATTAAGCATAGATTAAGTTGTCCCTGAACTTTAGAGATAATAACTTTTACATTTCTTACATAGTCAAAAAAATAATTGATGCTAGCTGTGTTCTCACTGTATCGTTTGGAACATACTCTCTTACATAAGCCATCAGTTCTTTTGCAAAACTGATGAATTTTAGGGTTCTTTTTCTTTCTTTCTTTAGAAGTGCAGCTGAAAGTAAGTTCAAGGATTATATCTAATTTTTCAGTTATATCATCATGGAATTTTTGTCAGGGATTTTTCTTGGTTGGGAATTGAAAAATTGCTCCTATGAGAGCGCTGAGTTACAATGCCTCTTTGGGGGCCTTTGGTCAAATTGTTACAGCCAGGTCCTCTTGATATGTTATGGTTTAAACCCTTTTGGAAGAAAGTACAATGTCTGTTTTTTCGATGGTCATGTTACATTCCTAGCAAGTAGTGTTTGAGGAATTTTCTTGTGTAGTGTGGTAAGTTCTTTGTCAGATTTAGTTAACCGAATGTTACCAGGGAGGGTCCTAGGTATCGCGGCTTTTCAGAGTTTGCACTCAGTACAAATAGCATGCCTGAGAGTCAGACTTGATTGCTCAAAAGCTGTGAAATGAACATACTACTGATGAAGATTCATGTGTCAAGAATATTCTCTTAAGTAATCATATTATAGTGATGGAAATGAAAGATAAAATTTCTCCTTTCTTTACAAATGTTGTGATGTTCTGTCAAATCACATTTATTTTTTGAAATGCAGATTTGAAATAGTTGGCTATGGATGTTCAACATGTGTGGGAAATACAGCACCCTTATCAGAAGCGGTTTTAAATGCAGTAAAACAGGTAAACTGTGTGGATCAGTAAGACATCCAAATAAATAGGTTTCTTAACTTTATTTCACTTAAATTATTGAAAATATATACTGATGTATGTATATTTCTGTAGTTGTTAGATGTCTTGGGAAGAGTAAGCTGTCAATCTTAAAATGATTCTTTAAAATAATTTTTAGATCCTTGAAATAATTTCTTGATAGTGTAAGTAATTAGTTTAGTTTATTTACAAGATTGATAGTTCTGTATCTAATAATTGGCATACCTGATTGTTTTTGGTTATCCTGCTTTAAGAAATATAATATTTGATATTACTTACATGTGATTATCCAAATTTATGCCCTCTCTTGAATTGAATATATTTGTTTATGTGTTTGGTTGGTTTTTTTTCAGGGTGATTTGGTTACTTGTGGAGTTTTATCTGGAAGTAAAAATTTTGAAGGTCGTCTCTGTGACTGTGTTCGTGCCAATTACCTCGCTTCTCCGCCCCTGGTGGTGGCTTATGCCATAGCGGGCACAGTGAACATCGACTTCCAGACGGAGCCCCTAGGTACCTTCTCCTTTACCTGTGTACCTAGATAGCCTGCACACACTCTTTTCCCCAGAAGTTGTGTTTTTGAAATACTTCCTAGACTGTTCATTCTTTGAATTATTTCAGGAAATCTTATGATGCATTATTAACTTCTGATTCATATGAAGAATGTAAAATGTGCAAGTAATTAGTTCTTCTAGCTGCTTATGCCTAAAGCGCTCTGCTATTGAGTAATACACTTGGTTTCTCTGATATGTCTTTGAAAAGATGTGAACATCTTGAAAGAGTAGCTTTTTATACTAAATTTCATATTAAAAATTTTTTAACCAGGTACTGACTCTACTGGCAAGAACATTTACCTGCATGATATCTGGCCTAGTCGGGAAGAAGTCCATCAGATAGAGGAAGAACATGTTGTATTGTCGATGTTCAAAGCATTGAAAGAGAAAATAGAGGTAGGAGTCTCATTTGTTTCTTAAATAGCTTAATGAAGTAGCAGTATTTATTTCATGCATCTTTCTGAATAGAATAGAAATTAAAGTTATATTATTTTGAATACAGAGTGTTTAATGAGTGATAGTTATTTTGTATCTGGAATCTCTACTATCTAATAAGAGAATTAACTTAGATTATTAGAATTGATTTTATTTACTTACAAGAAATATATAGCAAACATTTATATTTGGCATTCTGAACAGGGACATACTTCATAGAAACTGCCCTTGTTTGTTGTTCCTAGTCAACTGGTTAAAAATTCAGAGTAAATAAGAGCAGGGGTGTAGGGTTTTGCCCAGTGGTAGAGTATGTGCTTAGCATGCATGAAATCCTGGGTTCAATCCCTAGCACCTCAGATAGATTAGATAGATAGATAGATAGATAGATAGATAGATAGATAGATAGATAGATAAGAACTCCCCATCCTCCCCCAAAATAAAAAGCACAATGAAATCTCCCTCTCACCCAGCCCCTAGCCACCTACTTCACCTCCTCTGAGGCAACCAGTTATGTCAAGTTCTTGAGACGGTGGTGGTATAGTGGTGGGTATAGCTGCCTTCCAGTTATGTCAGGTTCTTAAGCATCTTTCCAGAGATGTTTTGTGCATCTACAAGCAAATAACATATATTCACATTTTTAAAAAAGAACTTAGAATACAAATATGAGGGCAGAAAAGATATTCACTTAATAAATATTTCTTGAGCCCCAACTATGTGCCAGGCACTTTTCTAGCTGTTTGGAATATATCAGCAAAGAAAACACAAAATTCTCATGGGGAGAAGCAGACAGTGAACTGTAGACAGGATACTTGGGTAGATTATGCAATATGTTAAAAAGTAATGAGTGCTATGGAAAATTATAGACTAGGGTAAAAAGAACCAACTGTGCAAAATTTGGGGAGTAGATTGCTGTTTTATATAGGATAGAAAACATGGTGTTTGGGCAGAGTTTTGAAAGAGGTGAACAAGTTAGTCATATATCTGAACAAAGGATGGGCGTTCCAGGTAGAGGGATCAGTGTCAAGGCCTTAAGGAGGGAACTTTAATGAAAGCAGTGTGACTATGACAAAGGAAATAAGAAGGATGGTGGTAGGGAATGATGTCAGAGAGAAATGGAGTCCAGATTACATAGGGAATTTTAGACCATTAAAAACTCAGTCTTTTACTCTGAGTGAAGTAAAACAGGAAGCCATTGGAGGGTGTTGAACAGAAGGAGTGTCATAACCAAAAAGGATTGTTCTGTCTTTGAATTAAAAATATATTAGAGTGAGAGGTTGGATAAGAAGAACAGAGTCAGGAGGACCACTTGTAGTGGTCCACAGTGAAAAATGGTAATAGCATGGAACATTTGTGCTAGCAGTGGATGTTGTGAGTAATGGTGAGATTTTGAATAAAGTTCTAAGGCAGGACTAATGCACGGTGATTTAGGACAAGTATATTGAAAAAAGCAATTTTTCTCCATAATATTCTTAAAGATTGACAGCATACCCCAAAACACTTAATTTCTTCAGCAACTTGTGTAAATCTTTTAGAATTCTTTAGCTTTTTTGGATTCTTAAAGTCTTTCATGTTCAGTTTGTATTGAAACTTAACTCAGTATTCCTGAAAATCAGGTGTGCTAAAATTTGATGAGCAAATCTTTATCCACTCTGTCCAAAAATGTCATCATAATTTTATAGAATGCACTGTCTTAGCTTTCTTCCCAGTAGATAAGGCCTGTTTCCTTTTTTTCATTCTAACCTAAGTACTTTTTTAATTCCTTTGATCATTTTCATAAACCTCTTTTTCTGCCTCCATTTTCTCTTGCTTTTGGTTTATCAACCAAAACCATATTCACAGATGGGAAATAAACGGTGGAGTTCCTTAGAAGCACCAGATTCAGTTTTGTTTCCATGGGACTTAAAGTCTACTTATATCAGATGTCCTTCATTTTTTGATAAGCTTGTAAGTACTGTTTTACTGTTTGATCTTTTAAAGATTGTTATGAACTGAAGAAAACCTCATGAAGAGTTAAATGCCTTCAACATTTTTTACCTTTTAGACCAAAGAGCCAGTTGCACTCCAGCCTATTGAAAATGCCCATGTCTTACTGTATCTGGGAGACTCTGTCACAACAGATCATATATCACCTGCTGGAAGCATCGCTAGGAGCAGTGCTGCTGCTAAGTATTTGACAAACAGAGGGTATGTGTACATGGTAATAGCCTGTTTTGTTTTTATCTTTCTCACTGGTTAACAGGCTTTTTACAGGCCACGTTCCTTTATCCAGTAAATTACATGCTATTACAGGTGTCTGATTGTCCATGTATTTGACCTAAGCAGTAACTAAGGCACTTTTATTGTACCTGCTGTTAATAACTGCTTTTGCTTATTCCAGTCTGTCCATTTCCAATGTTCTAATTCAAAGACTGATTGGAAACGAGATTTTTCTTTTTCAGTGCTACTTTGTTGAAAATTCAGCTTGGTTTGATCTACCAAATAAAGCATGATGGTTCTAAGCACCCTCCTGCTGTTGGAGTACAAAATGTAAATATGTGTTTTGGGCTGTAAAAGGTACATGCATGAGACGAGGCTCAATCTGTATCAAATCAAAAGATAATGAATGTCTGCTTCATGAGCCTAACATTTTTTAAGAATAATAAATGTGAATGTAAAGATCATTTACATAGGGTATGTAAACCCAAAACTATAAGAGTTTAATTTCATTTCTACATGATTAATAATGTAGAGGTGCTCTGTTATCAAAGAGCTGTATTGACACCAGAGACAAAGTTTTGCTAAAGGCAGAATTTGTCCTGCTGCTGCCAGATTAGCTTTTTGATGCTTGAGCTATGCAAATGACAAGACTTTTCATTGAAATATCTTACAAAAATCAGTGCTACTTAGCTTGGTTTGACATATAATAATACTACATAGCTCTTAATATAATCTTGGTGCTGTTGTGAAATCTATGAATTTATTTTCTAGGTAATTGTAGTTTGGTGTGAATTAAAACACTTTTTGGCAGAAATTGCTAATAGCAACTCCATTTGATGTAATTTAATAAAGATGAATCAGTTTGTTTTACACATGGCTTTTATTTATAGTGGTGAGAGATAAAATAAGTTTGTTTTCTCCCAAATGTTTTTGGTTGTGATTTCCATCTTGATCATAATTGTGACATAGCTTCCACCCAAACAAAAAATCACCATTTCTCAAATATACAATTTTTATATTATAATTTTATATGGATTTCTTAGCGTGTTTAACACAGCAGTTTTATCAGTTAAAATTTTTATTTGTAAAGACACTCGACACCCCACCACCACCACCTCCATCTTGAAGTTCAGTATTTAAATGTACATCCTGAAGTAAGATGTTTAAATTAGAAGATTTGTTGCCTTTACATAAAAGACCAAATTACAGACTAATAAGAGTTGGTTGTTGATTGTTGAGATGCTTATGCTAAGTTTTTTCGTGGCCTAAAATGTCATTTATGTAGTGACCAATCCAGTACCAGTGAACACCCACGGGACCCAGATTATGGTGTCTAAATACCAATTCTTGGTGCAAGCAATCAGTGCTTCTTAAAGAAATGATTGGTTCCAGATTTGGGATTGGAAAATATAGAAGATGATTCTAGATGTCTTGTACCGAAAACAAAAGAGCTATAGAAAAAGAAAATCGGGGACATTGACTGGCTAGCTGGTATTAAGGTTATAGTTGTTGTTGTTGTTATTATTATTTGTATCTAGGTAGTATTAAGTCCATATCTTTTAGAGAAACATACTGAGATAGATACAGCTAAGATACGATATCTGGGTTTGCTTTCAAACAGTCTGATAGAGGATGATATAGAAGAAACAATGAGATTCCATGAAATGATTATTCTAGTTCAGTAATAGGCTCCTGGGCATTCACTGTTTTGTTTTCTTTACTTCTGTACATGCTTGAAAATTTCCAAAATAAAAGTTGTTGAATAAATACTACAGTTCACTAATGTGTGATTACTTTCCATCTGAAACAAAAACTTACTTCCATAACTTTCTTGCAGCCTTACCCCTCGTGAATTCAACTCTTACGGAGCCCGGAGAGGTAATGATGCTGTGATGACAAGAGGCACTTTTGCAAATATCAAGCTTTTTAATAAGTTTATTGGAAAACCAGCTCCCAAAACAGTTCATTTTCCATCAGGACAGACGGTAAGGATGTATACAAAGTATTTAGGCAGTTGCTGACTAGGCCAGAATTTGTATTAAAAATTTTTGTGTTTGTTTTAATCTATAGCTAGATGTATTTGAGGCTGCAGAGCTGTACCAGAAAGAAGGTATCCCGCTGATTATTTTAGCAGGAAAGAAATATGGTTCAGGAAATTCAAGAGACTGGGCTGCCAAAGGACCATACTTACTGGTATTGATTCTTAAATTTTATCTTAAACTTCAGTTTTAAATATTCTCTTTTGTCAGTAACATTCTATCAAAGTTTATTTTGCTCATTTGGATTTCTTAAACTTATTTGGATCTCCTATTTGTAGGGTTTTTTTTTAAGTGATCTTATGTAATACATTGTACTAATCTAGTTGCATTTTAATAGTCTGAATTTGATTAAACCTATAGTCTTAATTGTAGAAATCAATATGGTAGAGGGAAAGCCGATTCTGTCTTAAACTATTGCTTTTATAGTAATGTTTTGTACCCATTGGTAGTTTTACTTGCCCCCTTTTCATGTAATTTTCTCTGGGTGGGTAACAGTGGGTAACAGACTCAGAAATAATGGGCCAGGTTTTACTTCTTTTTTCCAAGTAGATGATGAAGGTGCCTGGCTATCTGCTAGGAAGACATTTCTGTTGAGACTGTTTCTTTGTTGAAGAGCACATAGTGAGAATAGTCAGTGACGTGTGCTTTCTGTCATTTCATACGCATAACTCTGCTTCTCTTTACAGCTGTAGTTGTGAAAACCTGGTCAGAATACAGCCCTCAGAGCTGTTAT